TGAAAGTGTCTTACACACCAGCTTTATTAGGACTGGTCTGAGTCTACTGATCAGGAAGTAGTCTCTTAAGCTCTGTAGCGCAGTAACTGTTGTGGGGATTTTGCAGGGAAGTCACAACAATTATTTCTAAATCACTGATGGTGCCTAATTTATTTACTTTCATGCATGCAAAATTCCAGGGTTTCGTATAAAGCATATATGCCACATGCTTAAACCCTATGGACACGTTGGAGCTGCCCTAGGCTATCCAAAATGTCTCTATAGCAGGGAGAGATGTGAGAGGCCTGAGACCTTGAGGAGCAGCAGGTGGAGTTCAAGCAAGGTACCCAAAAGCAATGCAAGCAGGACCAACACACCTCTCTGGCCAACTGAACTGAGCCTTTACAAGTAGAACAACTAGATGAAAGATTTCTTCAGATTAAGAATCATAGCTACACACACAGTTTTAATGAATGTCTGTAGGGGGAGATAATATTTTTATTAGCCTGTTCAATATAATTGGAATAAAACCCTTCTGGGATCAGAGTCCCTTCATCAGAACTAATTGAAGCTCTAAAGTCTTCTCACTTCTCTCATACACACAGACCATTAAATCTACAACAAAACTCCTGCATAAATGGGAAGGTAAGCAAACATTTTCCAGGAACAGAAGCATGGCCTACAGCACCAAAATTACAGCTGCCTTCCCTAATAAACAGGCATTTCACACCTGCAGCAGGACAGATCAGTCTTTGTCCTGCCAAAGCAACCTGCAATGCAGTTTTCAAAGGATTTTTTTTAAGATTGCTCTTGGGGATGAGGGTGAGAAGTGAGGTGAACAGTGGAGGAATAAGAAGGGAGAGAGGCAGAAAAATTGCTTAGCCAGATTTTGATTCATCCAGTAAAAATGCGGGACTATTTTTAGGATGTTGATCACATTTCATGAGCTATTTCCTGTTATGAAGATGTTGGTCAAAGTGCATAATAAGTTATGGTCGAATCCACGATACGTCATGATCCAGAAGGCTACATTTGCATGGGTTTGTAATTAAGTGAACACCTGTAAGTATGTAATCCTTCTGGGGCTGACAGCTACTTTTTTTGTGTTGTTTTGTCTAATCCACTTCCCCATTGTCTTTCTTGAAAGATTATATTAATCCATCTGTCTTTGAGAAACTGTAATGTGCAAAATGTATATGATAGGTCATACACGTAGGAGTAAATTTGTTGTGGACTTGGACATGCTGACATTTACACTGACATTTAACTGGCATAACAGAGTAGTAAACGATGCCTTGTAAGACTTTCATATAACGGTGTTTCAAAATAATGTTCCACTTGTCTTTTGACAAAGTGTTGATCACTGTGCTATTTGCCAGTCAGAACCTATGAAAATTAGTTTCTCTCTTTCAGAAAAAGTGGAGGTTTTACTAAAACTTATTCCTGGCAGACTAGAAAGATAAGGCATTCTTAAAATATCAAATACAACAAAACAGGTAGAAAAAATGAACTACTCAAATCTGGCTGATATTGTTCTAAATATCACTGCTTCTGATTTTCTAACTGAAAAAAAATACAGGTTAGTATAAAATAAGTACCTCTCACACTGCAACACTACATATTTAACACCAACTGCGTATTTACAAGGTTCCCTGTTTTGCAGCATGTAAATACATCAAACAGTCTATTTATTTCCTATGGGTAGTAAACCGGTCAGCTTCCTGATATCTGGCATATAAATGTTTATATATAAACTCCCTATTACGTTTGTCTGAAATGATTTCAGATGGATGTGAAATCTCCAAATGAGTGGTAAATTTCTAGGACTTGAAAATGTATCATAATAAGCTGCACTTTTTGCATCTCAGAACCCAAACTTGCTTGCTTGCATTGTGATACAAAAGACATTTAAACATATAGCTGGATTTAAGTGCATGCATTAATCCTGCTGAAGTCAGTAACACTATAAACATTTGCTTAACAGTTTTCAAAATGAGGCCGTTAGATATTGTCTTTTAAAATTTACTCCTGCTTCAAATTTAGGGTCTTAAAAATGAAAAAATAGTGTTTTTGAAAGGTACTATCTTCAGCGTTGGGAGAAGCACTTTCTGTTCCATACTTCAGTATTGATTATTTCTAGACACACACAAACTTAAAAAATATTTGATATTTTTATAATTTATTTTAAATACAGTGTCTTCTTTTAAATAAGATAACATTTTGTTACATTACTGTGTAGTTTGCCTTGAAGTGCTTCTTTTGTTGCTTTGCTTTTTTATTAATTGAAGTTTTCCCCAAAACAAATAGAGAAATAAATGAATAAATCTAACAATTTGCATATTCAAAAGCTGCAGCTCTAATTTAAATTGCAAAACAGAGCCACTTTTGGTGCATTGATGGAGAAACATGCTATACTTGTAGGTTAAGAGAAAAATCTGAAAATAAGTACAGACTTCTGATGTTTAAGTTTTTGTTTTTACCCTTCTCTTTTGGAAATGCATAACATGTACCTTTTCCTGACAGATCCAGGTAATTTAAAGGGACGAGGAAAAAAAACATCACACAACAGAATTTACTTTCTTATACATTTTTTTTTTTTTAATTTTGCGTTAAAGAAAGGAACTTCATCAACATTGATTGTCATTTACAGAAAACATTCAAAAATCATGTGTGCATTATTATGGAATGCTAACAGTATTGAACTAATAACTTACAGGACATAAAATAAGACAAAATCTATTACATTCTAAAGTAATATAGAACCTTTTCATTTGACAGGGATGTTGGTCCTACAAAATTCATGATAAAAAATAAAACCCTCAACCGTCACTTTCTAAATGAATCAGGCTGTATTTTTACTCACATACACATAAATTAGGTTGGCTATATTAAACAAGGGAGAAAGATCAGAAGAAAATTGCAGATGTAAAAATGCTGGATGAACTCCTGACTCCATGGAAATCAGTGAGGGATTTTGCTGTAAGTTTCAATGGAGCCAGAGCTTTACCCAGTATGCCATGGTTCATTTGCAGTTTTTGCTTTTTGCATCTACAAGCCAGTTAAGATACATCATAATTATTATACAATTAAGCTTCAAAACAAACAAAAAAAATCACTGTTGACTCTATGAGGCATTTGATTTTAGAAAGGAATTTTTATTCAGCTTTTGAGAGTGTTTCAGTCTGAGTGTTATTCATATTTTATTTAATTGTTTTTTATCACACTTCTTGACAGGCAATGCAACACTTGAGTGTTACCAACAGTGGTAAGCATGCTTATCAAGTAGTAAAAAACAGACCCTCAAAATTCAAATCAAATTGATTTACAACAACATAGCTACATCCAAGCACCAAACAGCTCAGGGCTTGGAGACCTGGGTCTTAACATCTCATTTGACTCTAACAAAATGAACTGGAAATAGGATAAAAACATTAGATATTTGAAAGTGGGAAGTATATGAAAAATCAGTTTCTCTCATAGTCCTAAAAGCAAGGAAGCATTTTCAGGGATATTTCAAAAATATTAGAAAGTTTCATTTAAATCTAAATATCTATTTTAATTATGTTTTTCTTTTTTATAAATTGGTAATCATAAAATACTAGCCACTAAAGTCATATTGGGATGCTGGAAAAGCATCCAAATACTTTGTGTGTTATTTATGCTCCTGCCTGTGTTATTATAGCTGTTGATAAACTGGGCATAATTTCTTTTTCTATTATGATCTTTAAAACATGTATTTGGTGAAGGTCAGTTATGGCTTCAGATTACAGCTAATAAGTGACCTGACCTCAAATTTGAATAAGAAATTGAAGACATACAAAAATATTTTGCTCATTGGAAAGAAAGAAATGTTTCTATTAATATAATTCATGCCAGAAGGATTCATAAAAGCCATATGCTGTAAAGAAACATTATTTGCTTGAGCAACCTTTCTTCAAATTATATTAGTCAAATGCAGTCTGCAGGTATTAATACAATACTCACTGTACAGACTCACTGGGATCATGTTTCACTGACAATCCCATCTTTTTTTTTTTTCCCCCCATTACAAACAGAAGTATACACTAAACATCAATGGCCGTTCAAAAGGCTTTATCTATTACAATCAGTTTCCATAAAAACTGAAGAGTACATTACACTTACAGGAAGCAAGTACATAATTTGCTCTTTGATGTTTTTCCTCTTTAAAAAAAATCGTTACAAAGTCTTATGCTTAAACAGAGACATAGAAAAAATCAGTGTATTCACTGTCCCAAGTTATTTACAGCAAAAATTACAGAGACAGCATACATAGTATCAGACCTTCCACAAGCATATATTAAAAGTAATTACATTTGAAAAAATATTTTATTTGTCTTCTACATTTCTACAATACATACTCAGGTTTCTTTATTTTGTTTTGCTTGTTTAGTTTTTAAGTAACTTTCTTTAGTGTTAATCAGATGAGGCAGAGAGTGCAGCAGTAAAATAAGGGATTTCGTTGCTATTTTGTTTCCTATTTTATTTATACCATCCATTCATTACAACCAGAGTAATTAGTTTAACATGGGAATTATCTCACAGCGATTAGCATAAATCTCGAAATACTCCATGCATTTGATTTAGCTGGGTGTTGATAACAGCTTAGAGTTGGGTTGTGCTTTATTTGTGGCCACAAGTACAATCACAGAGCCGCTCCCTGTAGCTTACCAGAGGTCACTTTGCAGTCACGCAAGAGGCAAAGACTATCACGGCTAGTTCACTTCCTATGCTACTCAGTGGCTTTTCAATAATAAGTGCACGGATAAATCCCCATCTACTGCACGAGAATGTGTGGTTCACACTCTGTAGGGTTAAATGATTATTGGCATTTCTTACTAACAACAAAACACCTTTTTTTTTTTGCCTGATTCTGACATTGAAGTGACACATTAAAAAAACACAAATGTAGTGCATCTGAATCTGAATCCCCAAAGTCAACAGCCTAATGTAGTTACTTTGACTTATTAAGCTGTGTGTCTAATCAAGACAAGTATAAGTGCTTTTTTTTTTATATTTTTTTTTTTTTTTTAAATAAGCTGGTTTTATCTGGAACAGTCTTCAAGGTAAAGCCTGTTCTTTCCTGTTCTTCGTGACTGACCATCTGGCCCTGCTTGTTTGTCAATGCAGTTGCGTTCTGGTTGCCCAAATAAGGGACTGACGTGATCATAATATTGAAAACTACGAGACATTTTTATAATTCTGTCCAGGCAGAGTTTTATATTGAACATGCTTTACTGCTGCCAATGTATAGCCATAAACTAGGGCCTCAGCCTTTTCTTGAAGCACATACATTTTTCTCAACAGCAGTACCTTTGATCACAAGTTAGCAGCTCTATCCAACAAATCCAACAAATACGTAAAAACACTGTGATATCTACATTAGATGAAGTTTTTTCTTTATGCTTTTGTACAGAAGACCACGTGCAAAGCAAACAATTTCTGCAAGTACAGTTACAAAGAAACACTTATAATTTATTTATTGCTGCTATATCCAATGATGTTTGCTTTCACTCTCCCTACGTGCTGTGCTTGAATTGTGAGGATGATGAAATTATGTAAATGTAGTACATTATGTTACTGAACTCACTGTGAGCAGTATTGTCCTCGCTGCCTGCAGTTACACCCAGGAAATATCTCTCCTTTCCCAGATCATTTTGTGCATTTTCTTATTCTCTCAGCACAAATTAAATGCAAGGATTATTTGAAGGACACTGACACATCCATCATGTCACTGGACATTCAGGCTGCCTTTTTAAGAGAGTTACTGATCTGTGAGCTACCACTGTAGAAAATTTTATGTATCTTCTTTTCCCAATGGCCTTTGTCTGCAGACTGCATGCACAAGTGGCTTTTACAATTAAGTGATCTGCTGCAAACCACTTCTCTAATGGTAAACTACTGGGGTGTTGGGCTCATTGTCACACAACCTTGCAGGAACAGCACATGCAGGGACAATACAGGCAAGTGAGGACATGGGGGCTGGGAGGAAGAGGAGGAAGGAGCCTGCTTCCTACCTTCTGGGTGGAGCCTCCCTTGCAGACTGCAGGTGAGGATCAGCTTCGAGAAAGAGCAAAGATGAATCATTTACCACTCCAGGCCTCATTTATTAGGAGCTAGGTGTAAAAAGAAAAGGAAAGAGAAGCAAGGTCCTCTGGCCAGAAGACTGTTTTTTTTTAACAGGTAGGTATCAGGCTACCAAGTATTTCAGTCGCTTTGTCGTGGCTCCTAGCAGCGTGAAAGACTAAAATTCAAATTGCAATGGGACAGTTGGCAAGGAATATTATTATGAAAACCTTGGTGTATAATGATGTTGGCCTCTCCTTCCCACCTCTTGAAGTTGTCCACCCATCTTCTAGGTGTAGGGAATGCAGAAGATGGAAGGAATCAAACCCCCTACATACTCACTGTGAGAATAGGAGCAATGGTCATACTTAGAGCTGGGGAAAACCTCTTGGTTGGAGACCTAGAATTAACTCAATGACTAGCAATATGATCCACTGAACTTTGCATTTCTGCGTGTGTTCTTGTAATCACAGGCCTATAGAAAACATGTGGTATAAAGCTACGGACAAGCAGAAGTGCATTTCAAAATTCTAGGAGATGGGAGCATTCTTCACTAGTGCAGTATCAAATGAAGTCATGTTTGCTTGAGGTGAGAAAAGGACTGGTCCTACCATGGAGAAGCATTGCTACAGAGGCCTGGCAGTAGCTATGATTTCATGCATCCCTGAGAGGAAAGGGTAGCTGTTAGTCACTTTATACTACTTGCTCTTTCTTGCCATTTCTCCATGTGGTAGCTTGGCATAACTGTTGCTGTCATTGCTGACGGACTATCATTAATTCCATGTCTTAACCTATCTCCTTACATACCTGCAGCAATTCCAAATATGATCTCACATCAATGGTACCTAAACTCAGAATCTTTAAACTGCACTTTCTTTTGTCAGTCATCTGAATTCAGTAACTCGTACAAAGTTTGCTTGCATTTTGTTTCCAAAAGGACTTTAACATCACAAACTGATGGGTCAGTAGGGCTCCACTCACGGCGAAACAATGGGTGAAGTGACTCCTGCTTCAAGCTGAGGAAACGCTGACAGTGAATTCAGTTTATACCAATGTTACCCCTAATCACTGGCTTGAAAGCCTTGTCTGGGTCACGTTCATTCGGGCAGCTCAACCTGTGCCCTTCAAAGCCTCTAACATTCTTTTCCTTATTATCACTGTTATATAGCTATTTTTATTAATGAAACATCCCTGAGTGGCATACAGTGCAACATCTGCGTCAAGCAGTGATTGTCATTTACAAAGCGTGAAACTTAAAAAGGAAAGAAGAGGACTGGGTCTCCAACACACTGTTCCTAATGGATGTCAGAGATAGGAGATAGTTTCTAGAGTGGAGACAGAAAGTGCTGGAACAGGTTGGTAGGCGTGAATACGCTGCTTTGTTATTGCCGGGGAAAAGCAAGCTGTTCTGTCTCAGGTTTCCATTTCATATATGCTTAGACATAATATTTTTAGACAAAAAACACTTTTATGTTTCAGTTTGATCTTATTGCCCAGTGGCATGTTTCTAGGATGTCCAGTAGACAATGCCTCTGAAAATAGGAGCCAGCCTCCAGGCTGGACCTTGGCTCTTCTGGAAACAGCACAATCCATGCAGAGTCAGGAGGAAGGAGGATGGGGGGAGCCTGAACATCTTTCAAATGTGCTTTGCAGCACAACTTTAGAAGGGGTGAAAAAGACAACAGGGAAAGGAGCCATCAGTTGCACATCTCTAACTGTGCTGCCTAGCTGCTTTGTGAGACTGTTGCAGCCTTGGAGCAGCTCCCACAGCCTGGAGGTAGGAGGCTGAGACGCCAGCCCACAAAAGCAGCTTTACACCCTCTTTGTGTAGAAGATGTTGCATCAGAAATCTCTGCAAACTATGCCAAAGGGAAACATACACCCGTGCAAGCTGCCACCATGAAAACGAATAAAGAATATCAGATAATAAAGGGCATCTTCCTGGGCACATCTGGTAACTGCTCCACCTGGAGCACCATAACCTGGCATAGGCATCGAGACAGCATTGGCACCCAAGGCGCAACAGGAGGAATAAACTTATCCCTGTGAAACGGAGCTGAAATGAGCAATGGGAAGCGTAAAGTAAAAACATAAAAAAGCAAGCATGAGGATAACATCTGACTTGTGCTCTGCAAAGCTCAAAGGGGACTTCTCAACACCAAGGGCCTCTGACTTTATGAGAGGCTGAGCACCTTCTGCGTGGTGCTGAGATGCCTCCATTTTTATGGGCGCTAGTTAGAGCTAAGGGAGCCTGACAACTTGCAGAATCAATTCCTAAATGCTGCCTGTCACAAACCAATCAAAAATATACATTGCTTTTGGAAACAAGTTGGCTCAACTGAGTCCATTCTATTACCCTGTTCTTTTTCTAGCAACTGCTAAAACAATCTTTCCATTAGAAGGAAATATGACTCTTGGAATTAATTCTTTATACAAAGAGCTGGCAAGAGTGACATTTACACCAAAATTAAGTCTCTGTGGTAGTGTAACGAACAGCCTACATCTGCTTCCTTGATGCCAAAGATAATTGAGATCAATGTGGTTGAATTATCTGAGAGCAATGCTAGAAGTAGAATATTCAATACATGCTTTAAGTATCCTTTTGTTAAAGACCCCAGGTTAATCAATCATTAAAAAAAGTATCCCGTTTGAAAAGCTTGTCACTAAAAAAATCAACAAATATAACCAATTGCCACGGAAAGCAGATGTAACAAATCTTAATTTTAGAGATTTAATTGAAGGGCTTCAGATACTACTGTGGACTAATGAAAGCTAAGAATAAATTAAGTGCAGAACTAATATTTTCTGAAATGCATTTTGTGAGTGGATTATGCAGTTATTTACTTGAATTCATGCTATTTTATTATTTAAAGTCTATGGATACCTTGCGCATATGAAATCCAATATTAAGAATTTGAAATTTTGAGTATAAATGATCATGTATCAAAATCTGCAACAAAAATCCATCCTGTTGTGTGTGATCATTATTTGTTGTTCTAAACTCAGTCAATGAAGGGCAAAAGAGGTACTACTTTACGTATTTGTCCAATCCCAAATTGCAGAAAGTTAAATAAAATTTATCATCCTTAATATCAGTTACCACAAATAAATAATGTATGAGAATGAATTTTTATTTTCAAAATAAACAACAAGGTTATTTGCTCAAATTTTGGAAAAGTAGTAACAAAAATAGAGCATTCTGTTTATAATTAACCTTATTTGAAGATAAACATTCATTTGGCTATATTTGTAATTGTTTGTACAGCCTATTACCTATCAACGGCAGTAACGATTTTGTATACTAGCATCTTAATATTTTCAGGACCAGATTGTAAGGATCCATTTTTATTCTAGGACTGGATATGGCTACCTCTGTGGTCTCTGGAAAGTCATTTAACTTCTTTTCCTTACTTTTCCGCATCTTTAAAAAGTGGCAGTAATCCTTACTGATTGAACAGGTCATGAGGTTGCAGTGATTTAAGAATAGTGCTTTAAGGATTAAACGCCCTGCGGATAATGATTAAATAATGTCTTTTTCACTGGTAATCTCCATTTGGTTATCTTTCCTAAGACATAAGTCAAGAATCCCAAGGACTGATTAACTTATTTAAAAAGAACAAAACATTTTCAAGATGTAACACATAATTGTGAAGGACTATTTATAAACATGACAAACCTCTTTATTTATCATCACTAAGAACAGTAATATATATCACATATCCTATATTTCTGTGGGCTGGCTAAATATGTTACTTTTGATATACTGAAAACAAGTTTATAAAGGATTTCAAACAAATATATGCTTGTGTGTTCTTGTGTTGGAAAAGAAAAGGAAAACATGAATCTCCTGCAGTTAAAACTGAGCACTCCTGGCGTTCAGTTTGACAGGTTTTTTCCCAAATAAATTCACACAAGCAGTACATAAGTATAGTTAATTAAGTTTTTTGATATTAGAAAGAGCTGGAGTTTGAGGTCCTTTTCATGGATTTGCCATGTAAAAGGGGCTGCAAACAGATAAATCACCTTATATGGCAATGCCAGTCTTAGGGTTTGAGTGATACAAAGAAGCATCAAGAGCAATGCTTTATTATGTTAATTGAAGACATTTCTAAGTAATCAGTAGAGATCAGTGAATTTGGAGCAGAAAAAGTATTTTAGAAGTTGCTGTTCTATAGGATTAAGTAATTTTGAAGAATATGTCATATTTACAACAAAATTCTCAGCACAACTAACTTTGCTGTGCAGTTTTTTTCTTTTTGAAGTTGTAATAGACCTACAGGGAAACATGTGTAACTGCTTTTGTATCTGGTCTGGCATTGCTAAAACAGAACAAATGAACGTTGATGTTGTCTAGACTTGATTCTGCCATGAAAAATGAATGTTAGCTTGCAAACCAGCTGACGGAGGGCAAGGGAAAACTCCACAAAGTACTTGGAATAGCTTGTGAATTACTTGGTCATGCAGAAAAGAGAACAGAAGATTGAGACCAGAGCAGTGGAAAAGCCTGAGACATTAAGTTGTCACTGCAACAAACCAAGTTTCTGCAGCACCCCTGTGCCCCAGCTGTGTCCCAGTGGGCTCCCCATGACACCATTCTGCCACACATCCTGGCAGACGGCTGGTCCTTTGGCCTCCTGGCAAGTGTGCTCCTCCTAACCTTGCCTCAGGTGGCACTGACTTCATTCTGAAATTTGAAATAAGGAGACGTATCTGCTTGTGATTCTGTCTTCACTTCACTTTCCCACTCTCTGCTTCCTCTCATTTCTGTTCTACACCCTCCACTGGTGTCCCTGGAGGAGACTTCTCTGAAAGAGCTCACAACACGTAGAAGTAGTGGTAAGGACACAGCTGCATCAGAAATGGAATCCCTCTTCCATAGCTAAAAGGCCTATGTTTTATATCTCTGGCACAATCCAAACACACTAATCATGACTGCTAATTAAACTTAATTAATCCACAAGATTAAGTCCATGGCAGTTTTCCACTCCCCTCTGTGTTTGCCTTTGGTTTTGCAAGCAAATGAACATAAAGTCAATTCAGAGACAGACACAAAAAAAGCCCCAATCTTTTGCTCCCCTCCTGAAGTAGAATCAACCCCGTATATGTATATATATATACAGTTATATACATACAGACATTTACATACATATATGCATGTATATGCAACATACATATAGGTATGTGTGTAATGGAAACCATCAGTCCCATCTAGATGATGGCTTTGTCAGAAACAGTGACAGCTATATTCGCGTTTGTAAGCACGGACATTACTTGCTTTGACTTCCCTCCTCCTTCCCTCTCTCCGTCTCTCTGCCACTACTCTTCAGAGCTACATTTCAGGCTTCCCATGGTTTTCACTGAGTTCATTATGTGTCTTTCCATTGGGATCAGCAAAAAACAAACCAAGCCTTGCAATTACTTTTCAAAGCAGTATATATAAAATAAAATCATGTGTGGAATCAGAAAAATATACATGTGGGACAGTCTATGTTTTTACTCCATGTTTCAGACACTTTACTGACACCAGGTCCTACAATATTCACTTTTATATATATGCTCTATCCCCGTAGCAGGGAGAAAATTCCAAAACCCCTTTTCCTCTCTCCACTAAATCATCCAGACAAGGCTTTTGCACCATTGATACATTCTTGATGTTTCATTTACAGACTGCACACACATGCACTACATTACACATCTCAGAAGTGATCCTGTCATTACACATCGGCAGCTGATAATTTAACTCTGACTGGCAAAGCAGATCTCGATTGCCCAAAGTAAATCTAATACTCGGAGAGTAAGAAATGCATGACAGCCGGGCTGAGCATCCTTTAAAACTAGGCATGGGATTTTTAAGCTACAGCATGTATGCATATAATACCTACATATATATATATATAAAAGTATATAGCACATATATATATATATGTGTATTCCATACATGCACCATAATTTCCAAGACAGCTACAAATTTCCACATGCATTAAACTATCTAAAAACATAGAAATAGGCAAGTCTAATAAGTGGAATTTTCTTAAATTATATTTTAACAATAAACAGCAAGAGTAATACTGCAAAGTACTGCTCTATTCTCATGTATATCTACAATAAAATTCTAGGAACAGTTGTCTCCCAAAACAGCCCCCAATAAAATAAAATAAAAAAAAAAGGTAACACCCAGTGTCCTATATTTGTATATTCATTGTCAGTTCAAAAAACAAACAAACAAAAAAGTAAACAAAGAAAAGAGAAAAAAGACATCCCCACTCAGAGTTGCATATTTACATTCTTCAAACTGTAGCGGTGAAAAATAATTCTATTAAGTGCAGGACATTCCTAGTGTTGCAGTAGTGACATTTTTAATAAGTTCTTCATGAAAACATTTCTTTTTGTCTTAATAGTGACGCATTCCATGACTACGTGAAAATTCTATTATCCCCTTCACTTGCAGCCAGTGGTTGAGTCTGGATTGAAAAGCTCCTTGTATAATGGAGGAAAGAGTGTGTTCACTATATCTGGATGAGATTGCTTAAATACCTGTAGTTTCTCTCCGTGCAAGTTGCAAAGTGCAGTAATGGTTGGTATCTTGGCTATTAACTGTGAGACATTAAAATAAAAAGAAAAGGAACAGGAAGGAAGCAAATTTAGTATAAATTACAGTTTCCAAATAAAATATGTTAACAACTTGTTGGATAACTGAATGCAATACTCTGAGCTCCATCAAAAATACCCATTCAAAGGACCGACATTGCTCTTACGGTACAAAGAGCATTTTTGTATGCTGGCAATTTTAGTAAAGTGCCAAACACACATTTAACAAGGAACTGCCTCCAAGGGTATTTTCTTAAGGCAATCTCGTTCTTGCTAGAGTACCAATTCAAAAGATTAGTGAATTGAGCAAAAAATGTTGTAAGAGGAAGCAGGAGCAAGATTAAAAAAAGCCTTACTTCTCCTATACATTGCAAGCACACAGTGTGTTGCCTTTAACTTACATTAATGCAGCAATACATGGAGAAATGCCTACCAAAAAAAAAAGAAAAAAGAGTCATGATTAAGGAGTGCTTGAATCTTCTTTTTAACAATGTACCTTTGTCAAAGTCTCATCATCGAGGTGGTTCTTCTGGATCACATGTTGAAGTGCAAAGTAAATCTTTTCCTGAAGCTTCTGGACCTTCCTTGGCTCTATTAACCAGGCTCGATCTGAATAAAAAAAAAATAATCAAGACGCAAAGTCAAGAATCTAAAGATGGGGGGCACATTCATGGATAAGCACAGTGTCCCACGCTGGCAAGCATTCACATCAATCACAATTCCCATGAGGAAGGACTGCATGATAATTAAGACATGGTTTCAGAGGCAAAGTATCTTAATTAAAGGAACACCTGACAGTTTAATTAACAGCTACATTCTTGGCTCTGGATTTCTTTGTTTAAACCAGGATGTTAGAGATAAAGATGGGAGTAGAAATGAAACCAGGCCCAACCATTTTTTTATTCTCTGTTGGTACAATCAGCATTCTTCTAAATTCATAGTGGCTAGGTGAAAAACATGTCATGTTATCTCAGTGTCTTAATACATAAATAATAAACATATTGATCAAAACAGATCTTTGAAAATAATAGAATATAATTATTTAAAAATTAAAATAAAATATGTCTCATTATTTACTAGGCTAACATTTTGAGACCAAATATTATATTCTGAATAAAAAGAAATGGCTTCCTTCAAAAGAATTTCTTTAATAATTCAAAAGAATTATGAGTTGTTGCAATGTCTTGAAGTGCAAATTTCTCATTATTTAAAAATGTTCTCTTTTTAAACAACACAAAAGAAAAGATTATCTGGGAGAATAACAACTACAGATACAGTTGTTTGGAAACCTATATGGTTTCTACTGAACTCAAACCCCAAGTGTAGGAGGTCTTCCTTAAGATCTGTATTCTCACAAGTCATAGCTTCTGGAGACAAACACAAAGAAAGAGAAGTAGCAGATCCCAAGGCAATCCCAAAACCATTAATACAGTGTGTTTACAGCACCAATAAACCTTCTGTTTTCCCATGCTGCAAACTTGTTTCTTCCTCCCTCTATTCCTCAATCCAGACCAATTCTTGGGTATAGATTCTAGCTTTTAAACAGGAAATAAGAAAATCTATTTCATCACAGGGCATGAATCTTCAAGTATCAATGGAAAAGTGCTGGAAAATCCCTTTCACTTTCAGACCCCTTTCACCCACTCCCTGTCACAAAATAATCCATAGAAATAATAGAAGTTGGCCATTTCAATAAGAACACATGCCACAGAGGCTGGAGCTGAATGGTATTTCATCCAAAAGGACCTGGACAGGCTGGAGAGGTGGGCCCAGGTGAACCTCATGAGGTTCAACAAGAGCAAATGCAAGGTTCTGCACCTGGGCCGGAACAATCCTCGCCACCAATACAAACTAGGGGGTGAGGTATTAGAAAGCAGCCCTGAGGAAAGGGACTTGGGGGTGCTGGTGGATGAGAAGCTGGCCATGAGCAGGCAGGGTGCAGTTGCAGCCCAGAAGGCCAATCGCATCCTGGGCTGCATCAAAAGATGCATTGCCAGCAGGTCCAGAGAGGGGATTCTGCCACTTTGCTCTGGTGAGACCTCACCTGGAGTATTGTGTGCAGGTCTGGAGCCCTCAATATAAGAAGGACATGGACCTGATGGAGAGGGGCCAGAGGAGGGCCACAAGGATGATCAGGGGGTTGGAGCACCTCTGCTACGAGGTCAGCCTGGAGAAGAGGAGGCTCTGGGGAGACCTAATAGCAGCCTTCCAGTACCTGAAGGGAGCCTACAGGAAGGCTGGGGAGAGCCTGTTTAGAAAGGCCTGCAGTGACAGGATGAGGGGCAATGGCTTCAAGCTGGAGGGGAACAGATTTAGATTGGAGATTAGGAGAGGGTTCTTCACTGTGAGGGTGGTGGAGCACTGGAACAGGTTGCCCAGGGAGGTGGTTGAGGCCCCATCCCTGGAGATATTCAAGATGAGGCTCGATGAGGCCCTGGGCAACCTGGTCTAGTTGGGGGTGTCCCTGCTGACTGTGGGGAGGTCGGACTAGATGACCCTTGGAGGTCCCTTCCAGCCTGGGCAATTCTATGATCACAGGAGGAGCAGATTCTGTCATATGTCTGACTGTCTGTGGAGAGAGCTGCATGAAAAGTGTTCATCGCCAGGTATTATGGGAAGAGACAAAACCAAACCTCTAGCTACTTAACAGGTGATCAGGAAAAAGAAAATAATCTTTTTGCAGAGTTTAGAAAATCATACTCTCAGAAGATAATGCCACCAGTGGCCATAGAAACAGAAACAGCATCTACACAAACAAGCACACAGCAATATTTAGACTTCACAGGTTAGATGCCAAATTTTATGCTGTTTCAAAACATGCCTTTCAAAAAGTTAAATCAAGGCCTATTGTGGCAGACTGGAGCTAAATTGATTTATCATAGAGAGCAATCCTTAAAGATTTATCTTTCTGTCACAAGAATAAGCCTAAAAATAGACTGAGGTTGTTGAAGGACAGGTTTAATCACTTATCTGTCATGGAACACGCTTTGTATATCACACAAGAGTTCTTAATTGATGACAAGAGCTAGGTGAAACTTTTACAATGGATATCAAGTTCATCTTCCAAAATGCGGTTTCTACCACCTGAAAGCCATCTGCAAATTTGGCTGGAATTCCCCAGGTCCCTTTACACACACAAAAGTGCAGGAGAAAGTCAATAGATCAGTGTCTACATACAGCTTATAAGAAACAGTGGTTCAATTCTGTACTTTTCTGTTTGGGTTATGAACTTGTGTACCTTTAAAGAGTGCACAGGCCACTAGGATACAGAATGGTGTAGGAAAGAAGATGAGGGAGAGCTTAACAGGTTCACTTTTGCAAAAAGGAAAATGCAAAAAAGGAACATGGCCAGTCAGAATTTCAGAAGAGGGACTGGCACACAGTGGGGAGCCTGGTTACTGTCTTACCACCTGGCTTTGGCGTGTTTGCAGGTGGAGTTACCTCTGCAGCCATTACTGGACTCCTTCTAGAATGTTTTAATCTTTGAAATCAGAAATCAAGTTAAACAATCACCTCCAAGCATCGCAGTCAGGTCCACCCTGAACCGGAAAATCTGGATTTGTGCTCTGAATCAGATAGAAAATGGGTCAGACACTAGGCCTTGCAGCCTTAGCAATTATATTAATGGAATTTCTTATGTCCCCTTACTCTTAATGGGACTGCTCTGTTTCCTGTAAATTACCTAAATACTGAGATCAAAGGCACAAGAATCACCTTTCAGTATAGTGGCTTCTGTAGAAAAGAAATTAGAATATGAATACTTTCAATACAAAATCTCTGTGTACTTATATTTGTGGACGCAAAGGCTGGTGCAGGTACTTCTGTGAAGCACTAGTTCCTTTTTTTTTTTTTTAATTTTTACATATGTTCCCAAGATGAAACACTTTATTGTGAAGAAACTTGAAAATCTAGTGTGGAAGGAAATTATTTCTTTTTCTACTGTTATAATTTTTGTAAGAAAATAAATGGCAAATTTCAATGTCAGTTCAATCTGTATTGATTTTCCCTGCCTTCCCACTCCCAAACACAGCAGCCCAGCTGAAATAGTAATTACTTGCACAATCCAAATTTGCAGTTTTTTTATGGAAGAGAGATTGCTTTCACTCATGTACATTCTGCTGCAGCCCATCACTTCTTTGTTCTTGCGTCTTCTATAACTAAAGATATATGTGCTTACAGACCACAGAAATAAGAAGACAGCATGCATCAAACACTTTCAGTTTTTTTTGGAGGGGGGATAAAAGAATAGGAGACACTGTATCTGCTCTCTTGCTTGTAAGCAGGAAAAATCCAACTTGGATGTGAAATAGAGAACCATGGATTATTTAAATATTTCAACTTGTAGCACCACCTTCCGCCCTGAATTTTGATTATAGTGAAAAAAAATCTTGGAATTGCCTCTACTTATGTGTGCTACTTAGAAGAAACAGAAGCTGATATTCAAGAGACATCCAGCTCTGAAAGGCTGTACCAGGACTGATGTATTTCAGGACTGAAATGCATTACTAGAGTTAATGGAAAAGCTTTTACAACACATGCCTGTAATACAGCTATCTCAAAGCCGGTGCTGAGTTGCTAGTTTTTTCAAGTACTTAGTGCAGCTGCAAGAAGTAGAAATGAGTGTGGATACCCAGGCAACATGAACTGCTGGCAGAATGCAAGAGATTTTGGTGCTTTGCAAGCTAAAGGGACATATGTAGAGCTGCAGAGCTGAAGCAGAATTTTGACGTCCATCTAATGCCTTCCTGCAGCTAAACACATTTCATAAATTACTTGTTCCAACATCCATTAAAATCAAATGGAAACTTTCCATTACTTGGATTTTGATCAGGCCTAAGGCACTGGGCATTCAAATGCTAGAAGCTTTCTGCAAGCAAATTTTGTTGAATAGGGCTATAACTTGTTTTCCTCTCCAAGATTACATGGGAGACAGAAACATGACTTCTTTTCAATTTGGCTAGAAATTGCATAACTGAATTCTCTTTCTCCCTGCAGATGAGGTGCCCCCATCTGATCCAAAGTGCTTTGAAGTCAGCTTTGAAATGATCTTATTGTTTCTTTCTGTTCAGCTAACTCTAACTTTTCCTGTAAGAAAATAATATGAAGAGTGGAAAAACCTCCAGGTGTTACAAAAGTGAAATACGGATCCTGCTTACAAGGATCCCACCACCCTCTTCCTACTTCCCTTGGCTTCATAACGTGAAGTCAGCTGGAAACACTGAAATGATCTTCTCCAGTCCCTGTTAACATCTTAATGAAGCACTTCACAGCTCAGACCCCAAACAGATTTCCAGGTTGCCTTCAGCTTTGCACTGATTCAGTCTGCTGAACAGGCCACTAATGCTAACCAGGAGCAAGCACTGGCTGCGCATCTGTGTCATGTTCACAGCTGGTCTTTTCAGACGGAAGAAGGGCTGATGGACAAGAACCCATCAGGACAAGAACACTTGCAAGTAGCCTATCCCAGAGGAAGTCAGGGCATCATGGGGGCAGGGCATAGGCAACTTGCACCCCTGTGTATAATCGGGACACCTCTGAGGTGGACATGGCTGCTGTTTGCAGGATTGTCCCACGAATATCCTAGCCTCACACAATGAAGAGCCACCGGCTTGAGCATTTCACCTCTGAGTGGATGACTGCAAGAACTGCTCAAAGGGAAAATAAAAGGAGCAGAGTCCTTTCAGTAGGTGTTGTTAATGATAAGAATGGACATGTTGACACCATCTGTGCTAGTCTAATTCTGCCTAACATAATCTCTACCACAGATGTGCAAAAGGGCAAAGTGACCTAGAGGAAATCTTTAGCAGAACAGGCTAGAAAAATAATTCACGGTGGGATTTTTTGTAAAGGCCCTTCAAGAGCTTACTCTTGGTGGGAACTAGGGGTCTGCCTTCCCCTAGGGATGTTTAAAAGTCTCACACTAAACTGTGAGCTTATCTACCAGATCCACCTTCTGAGTAAATTAAATCACAAACCCCTCTTTTTTGTGGTCAAACAGCCAGCACTCACTGAATGCATGCTTGCCTGTGCAGAGCTATGCTATATCAATACATTGAAAAGGGGATGTTATCCCTGGAATCACCACCTCTCACCTGGAGATAAATTTGGACAGGACTCATACAGATGTTATGGCTCATGTTCTTATACACACAGAAAAAGCCCACCATAGTTAGGGACTATAATAACCTGCTCAAGGCTATGAGGTTTGAGGTCCCTGAAAATGCGAGGAGGATCATGGACCTCCTTGAGTACCATGCTTCTTTGTCCATGGTCTGGAGGAACACCAGCTGCACAATTTGTTCACGCAATCCCGCTCCATGTCTGTACCCCCACATTTTGGATGTATTTCCAGTATGTGTAATTCCTGACAGTCTACCAAAAAGAGGCTGAGATATATTTGGGTAATTTGGGTACTCTTCCTTTGCTTCATATCGCTTAATACCACTTAAACAGCTGTTTAAGTAGCTAGAAATAGAGGTGGACAGAGCTAGAAATAGAGGTGCACAGACACTGTGGTGTTTGGAATGAAAAAATCACCTGGTGATATCAGAACAGCAGATGAAAACAAGGCAATCTCCTCCTCAGTCAGCTGTAAGGAACATAAATTCTTTGCAAAGTCAAAAGCTTCATTCACCAGATCATCAGAACCTGTAGACAACAGAGGACAAAATCAATGCTAGAAGTTTGTCAGCTCTTTAACCTGCCATGAAAAGTGAACTGTTTTCATGTCAAAAAACGTTGTAAGTGAATGTTCTAAAACAAGTGCCTTTCATCAGCTATTAAAATTCCACCTGCCATGAAAATATATAGCTAAAACACCCATTGGAGCACAAAAATTATCGAGAATTAGGGGCATGACCTGTACAAAAATTGCACAGACACCTCAGAAGAGGGATTTCCTTTCCCGGTGTGGAAAGAAATGTTATTTCTAAGCATATATTAAATCTAAGAGGTACGAATGACCAATCCCAAATAACTTTCACATATAGAATTTTATTAATTAGCAGTACAAATATTAATGAAAATATAACAAAGACCAAAATAAATCACCTAATGCACATTCATAAATGCTTTAGACTTGTAAAGTAGTATGATATTTATCCATATGCAAATAAGAAAAAGATATGCCTATATGACAAATATATATATTTGAAGCAATATATTCTTTGAGTTTGGTCCTCAATAGATTTCTGAAAATGTATCAGACTCATGGATGGGCAAAAGTAATACGTTTAGCTCTTAACATTTCAGGTAATGCTCAACACTATCTTGAGAAATGAAGCAATTGTTTCAGCACACAAATGTAAATGAGCTTAAATTTTTAGGCAAAACAGTATTTTGGGCGTGTCTATATTTTGTAGTAGTTCATTATTTTAGTCCCTTTGTGGCTGGGGCTAAAATTGTCTTCTGCAGGACACAGTGGTAGTGATATGATATATCAAGCATAAATGAACTGTGAAGATAAACTGCTTGGCACCTGCCACAAACACAGGTTTTATCAAATCTTCAGATATCAGACTGAGAAATCTATCTGAAAAACCTTCATGCTGCTCTTTTTTATTAGAGAAAAACCCTTATCACTGCTGGCAGCTAGTGGAATTGCCTTTTTTCTTTTTCACTTCCAGACATTTGGAGGTTTGGGGATTCAAGATTTACTGGAGATTTTAATTGTGGGTCACTAATTTCAGAAAGACAAATCTGTCACTAGGTGGTTCAATGTAATTGGTTGAAAAGAAAAAAGATCGACATACCCAAGGCTTTAAACATTTGCATCCCTCCATACTTTCCTTCAAACAGAACAGTATTGTTGAGTGGGTTGAAGGCACGGCACATTCTCACCAAAACCACTTCCAGGCAGCCTATCAGACAAGAAAAAGAGCAAAAGCACCACACATCACTGTGAAATGTCAGAATGCAGGAAATGTCAGGAGAATATTTAGGAAGATATCAGTCATTAGAAACATCAGCAGGGATAAACACTCGTAGAAGGCATCTAGATGATATGTCTCTGAACGAGAGACAAAATATTTCTGTGTTAAGTACAGAAAGGTGTAATTTCTGTTACAGCCTGCCCATTTTTCTTTAGGTTGATTTTTCCCCCATTGCAGCAGATTGGCAACCTGGACTTAATCTGAACTTAGACCTGGACAATTATTTTCAATTTGAAACATTTTATCCTGAAAATTAAGCATTTATTTAAACTTCTTTTTAATAATGAAACCTGTTTAATGTAAAAATCCAGCTTCACTGAATGTGTATACAAATCCCGGTTTTATTTGTCTGGAGGGAGAGAATATCACAAAGTGTTTTTAAAGAGAAAATAAAAGTTAAAGTACTGTGAAGGTAATCCATAAATTGGGGTTTACTTCTGTTTCTCTTATTTTAAACATGCTTTAACTAAATCCAAATCGCCTGTAAGAGGAACTCTGAATCTGAGGATTCACTCAAAAGACATGCTTTTGAGTGAAAAGCCCTGATTTTCTAACTCCTGCTCAGCATTAACAGCAAAACAGAAAATAAAACATGGCATATGTGTACTGTAGCTAAACAGAGTTGTCCAACAGCACAGTTGAATACAACCATATCTTTTGCTGAAGGTGCAGTTATGTTCTTAGCTTTGCCAGCCAAATGAAGGAAGTTACTTGGGATGCGCTGGCATCTACAGGATTTTCAAAATTAGTATGAGCTTTAGAAAAATAGTTCTCATGCTGCAACTCCGCTTTCCCACAAGGTTGTCTCTGTGTTCCCAGGGTCCCTGTGTCTCTTCCCTTTGCACCTCTGCCCGCTGTCTCAGCCCAGCCCCACACCGAGACACAGCCGTGCATACAGAGCACTGAATCACACTGGCTCCCATCCGTAATGAAGAGCTCTCTCCTGAAATAGGAAGCACTTCTTATGCCTTAACAGGCCGCCTCACACAGCATCCTGCCTTTTATACACGGAGAGAGCAAGAAACTGATATGACAGGGTAAATGCAGTTAATTACCAGTCGCGGTTCACTTGGTCATACCATTTTGTCCTCCTGAGTTTGGCGATGTTACTACATAGTCACAATAAATCTTGTCACGATTCTTCCGGAGGACAGAAATTGCAGAGTCCCACGACAGGGAAGGAAACCCTTTTCCCCCTTGCCCTTGTGCACGCATGTGCACACCCCGGCACGCACGGGGAGCACGGCTGGCACACACCACTGTAATCCGCTCTCGTTTCTTCTGAAACCAACTGGCGCCAGCAGGGATTTTCCCTCCTGTGCATTGGCTGGAGGGTATTTCTGTAGTCTCATTAAAAAGATTAGAGATGACCACAGAGGCAGGCCCCGGTGAGCCTGTGTTCATTTCACTAATGACAAGTGGGGATTTTACAGGGTGGCAGATGACTGATTCGACCAGCTCAAATTGCAGGGTCCTTCCACCACATGTCAGGTTGGAGACTGCAGTTTCTGCAATGATTGTGCACGCGTGTGTGCTTAATAGCCACAACTGACTGTACAGGGAAGGGAATCAGAAGGTAGTAACATCATTAATGTGGAAAAATGCAGAAGGGTTAATGTAACTAATGAAACAGACTGAAATTAGGGCTCCTACGACATTAAAATGATTTGCAGAACAAGACAGCAGAGCACTTTTCTAATGTGCTGGGTGCTAAACCAGTCTCAAGTCTCTGGCGTTTACCCACCTGACTTAAGCAGGAGAATTTGGTCATTCTGGCAGAGCTCCATGAAGCCTGTTATGCGCTTTGCAAACTCCACCACATACTGGATAGCGTGGGTGATCTGAATGGCACACTGCTGCCACAGAGCTTCTCTGGTCTTCCGGGACAACACACACAGAAAAACAAAGCAGTCAGCAAGCGGGCTCATCAGTGCATTAAGTTCTTCGGATGGCCTTGCAGAAAGGCGCGCTCCTCAGACTCCATCCCCATCCCCTGCAGACCTAGCAGCATCTCTGCTTCTCAAGGTACCAGACACTTTTCATTAGAAGGCTGTTTTCACAAGCCGACTGCCACAGAGATCTGAACTCTGGCATCGCCTCTTCGAAGGGGGAGAATGCATTTTCCAATGTAAATTGTGAATCTAACGTCGGCTTTGGTGCAAGATAGAAAAACAGTGGCACAAATAGTGTAACAATGCCAGAGTACTCCTAGAGAAGAAGTGGCACAGTGCTATTAAGTTATCCAACAGAATAGTTTTGCTAGTTTGAAACTTAAAACAGTGCATAATTAAAATATCATTGCAATCTGAACTGTGATTGCATCAGCATTTTGTCTTCTTGACAATCCTTTTCCTTGCACATGCAAGTGTGCAAATGTAAATACATGCTTTTGATTTGCATGGCACAGCTCTGCAAGCTGTGGTGTGTGTCTATTCTTGCTAGTACTGCATAGCCCCTCAGCTTTCAAAGAACAGGTTGGAGTCTTTTCTGTCTCTTCCGTGATCAGCTAATATGCTAGGTGAAATCTGACTGAAAAACCACTGCTAGTGATGCTGGTGCAAGAGGCACAAAAATTTCTGTTCACTAGACATCTGAAGAGGTGACAATGGGAAATAGTCTGAACTCGACCTGAGAATCACAAAGGTAGAACAAAAATGTAGTGTAACAACATCGTTTTTCTACCCAGTTTTGAACACCTTCAATTTAAAGAGTACTTTCAGTTTGTCATTATCTGTTGTCTGTAAGAGACAGATATTTGTTATTTACATAAAAAGGGAGTGTGTTTTCAAAATTCTAAGGAAAAAAAGTTGCTTTATTTTCTAAAAGTCCTTACAACAGAGGATCCAGTCCTGACCACATTAAAGTCAACTGAATTTCTGCATGAAGTTTAGATCTGTGATAACAAGCAGAGCATGGAGAGGATTCCATAACCACACCTGAACTTCAACATTAGCAAACATCCCAACATGCTGGAAAGCTGCTGCTTCTTTTTATGAAGTGTCACTCCTCATCAGCATATCCTTACCAAATACATTATACTGTTAAAAATTTCAAACCACAGGGAGCAGAAGCAGCAGCATATTACAGGATTGTACCTTGCTCTGGTAAACCTTAATTTCTTCATATGTGTGGGTCTGCCATGCTAGCTGGTGTAGTTCCTCCATGGTATATTGACATGTCTCCAAATGAGATTTAATGATATTCTGTGCAATTCGATCTGTGAAGAGGAGAATAAAAAATAGCTTGCATGAAACAGCATACAGTGATTTGTAATCATTTTGATTTTAGTGAAAACATTTAAGTTGTTGGAAAATGCAGATTTTAAAAAAATATATTTTCTTTCCAATGCTACCTTTCTTAGTATTTTTTTTATTCCTGAAGATGACTGTTGCAAAATGTTTCACTGTTGAACTCAAAGCCAAACGATGCTTGATAAATAGTGGATCTACACAGGAAAATAACAATGAATCTTGTGAAACTCTTCAGACTCTTTCATTCTAGGGGAGATTTTTTTCTTTTTCTTTTTTTTCCTTTTTTCTTTTTCCGCATTTAAATACATGTCATTTGGAGACTCTGGTTACTTGATCACTTCTATTTACCCCAAGCCTGTGCACCTGCCCAGTTCTGACTGCTCAGTCCTGACACAGGCATTGCCTTGGGATCACTCATATCAGAGAAACAGGAAAGAGGTCTCTTTTTTTCTCGAGTTAGTTTTCAGCCGAATCAATTTCTGATTGAGCTAGATGAACACAAGCATGGAGACTGGTACTAGCAAGGAGTGAAAGCTAGAACCCTGGGTTTTAGAAGGAGAAATGGGGGGAAGAGATCTCACGTATAGGATTAAGTTACCTACAGTTATTCTGAAATTGCAGTCATAGAAACTACTGCATAACACAGGATGCAGAATGCAAGGGGAAAGGGAAGCATGAGATCCCACTGAAACTAGAAGTAAACTTCTCAGGGAACGGTTTTAAAGTAGATCTTTGCCCCTTAAGCCACTTGAGTGGATTAAAAAGCTTTTCACAAAAACTTCCAACACGAATTCATTAGCACTAGAAGTTGAAATGTCCTGATAAAACACACTATAGAAATGTGATGATTTCTTATTTTGCAGCTTTGAGACCTATATAACTAATGAAGCTCAGTGCTTCAGCCTGAAGATATTGCTTAAGCTGAATACCTTTCAAATAATGGAAAAAAGTTGAAAGTCAGTCGGCAGCACTGAACTGAAGCTCTTGTGGCAGAACTAGCATTTCACAGAAAATATATTTGTCAAAAAAGGAAAGGACATTGACAATGCATTAGCCAAGCCTGAGCATGGGAAGTAGAAAGACCTAGGAATGTTATAATTTACTCATTCACATCCTCGACAGTTTGCATACAGTGGGTGGATCGGGTGCTTGGATTCCCAAAATAAGAATGTTTCTTTGGCCAAGTGTTGACTGAATTAAAAAACACTAGCAAGAAGGAAAGTTGAAAAATGAATGTAAACATGTATATGTTCCCTGCAATTGCTGCTATAGGAGTGTTATTATTTCAAGAAGAAATGCCTGTGCCACTGTCACAGTTAATAAGCTGAGACTCAGCAGAAAGGCGCTGAAGAAAATACAAAAGAGTTCCAGGTTTTTGTAGGAACAATAAAACCTGCTCAATTCAATCTTTACAGGTATCCCTTTAAAGGTCATCACTATCTTTAGGTTTTGTGGTGGAACAATTGACTTAAGCATAAGGACAACTAAAAGTGTATATTACTGAGTACAGGGATCTATCCATCATTCTTTAATGGAAGGTTGGTTGCAAGTCTTAACCTATGATAGTAAGCTATTGCATTTTATAGTAAAAACCTTATAGATAAATGAGCATGTTGGAATAAAGGGATGATGAATTCAAACAGATTTTTTACAAATATTTATTTGCATTTCTTTAACTAAGAGAAGCAAATAAACCATATCTTTTCTAGAAAGGTGAAATTTCAGACGTGTACCCCACATTTTTCCATTTAAAGTACAGTTTTAATAACATCAGCTTTCTGGGAACATCCTTAGCCACGGTAAACCTGACTGCAGAAGTTAAGCTCAAGCTACAGGCTTTGTCACTTATGTTCCTGGAAGGATTTAACTGGACAGAACAGATGTATGGTCAGAGGAACATTTAGGCCCTGTATCTAAAACACCAGTGAAAGAAGTATGATTTCAACTTATATTACAATTCTGCAGCCTGAATGGTGAAGGATTTTGCTCTCTATACCTGTCAGCTGGTCTTTTTCCTTCTTGTGCTTCCTAGCCCAGCCCTGTTAGCCTCACCATTTGTTACAAAACCTCGAACTATTCACACTCTTGATGTAAAGAAAATGCTTACAATAAATACCTCAAATACTTTAATATTACTGCATAGACATGTTTTGAATCAGATAAGGTCACCTAATGCCAACAATCTGAAAATAAGACCTTTTCATTTCACTGACCTCAAAATATACTTGATTAGCAGTTCTACATTGCTGCAGAGATACTCAGCTCCACTCCTTTTCCTACCATTTATATATTTACCTTCGAACTGAAGAGCTGACAAACTCTTCAGGGTGTTATAGGGATGGCATCCAGTGTTTTACCCCCATACAGCTCTTCCTTGTGTACTTGGGCTTATGTTGAGCTGACATTAAAACCCATTTAGATGTGTGAAGGCCTAGGGCAATTGCATCGAGCAGCAGCTCCGAATGCTGACATCCAAAGAGGAATCAGGTGCAAGACAGACTTGAAACTCTTGCGCCGCAGGCTAGGCAAGGCTGAGTGTGTGATGGAAAGGGTACACTGTGCCTCAGGGGAGGAAGGAACTGCTCATTCAGCATAAGCAGCAAAGGAGGCTGCTTGCTTACACTCAACGCTGGAGTCCCTGTAAGGAGCTTTATGGAAATATAGCATGCACTGGGTGTGTAGAGCTGACATGATGCAAAAAGTAAAAGAAGTGTAAGCTTGTCTTGGCTTCTTAGATGGTGTAGCAACAGAAGAACCAATGCAGGCAGCGCAAAGAACATCACTCTCAAAGGGTTTCAAAGACCACAACCTTTTTTTCTGACATTTTCAGATTTTTACTTCTTTTCACAAATGAAGGTGGAATCAGCACACATCTTGGCAAATCTAAGGCAGAAAAAAAGTTCCTAAACTGCTGGGAATAATTTACTGACTTCTGATGTAAACCTGTCCAGTCACAGGTACTGTGCTGTACCCAAAATTTGATACAATTCTGTGAGACCTCGTGGCTCTAACACACTGCTGGCAACTGAGTTCAACAGATTAACTCTTATAGTAGAACTAGAAAGAAAGGGACAATGAAGGAAGAAAGCAAACAACTACATACAGGATAAGGAGAGCTATTGCCTTGATGCAGAGGCTGTGTCCTCAACCCTATGGAGGTACCTTGTTGGCATGATGCCCAACAGCTATGTCTTTCCTGTTCTCCAGGCTAGGAGAGTCCACCACAGTTAGTCCATGCATCAAGTCTTGACATTTGTCCATTTAATTTTCAGAAATCTCTAATCAGAGATTTCAAGGGTCCCATTACACTGGGAAGCTGCATGGACAATACCAGGAATTCTGTTTGGATGGGCTTGATGAACTATAAAAGACAACTCCATTTTTGTGACCTCAGTGTGAACTGAATTTCTACTTGAGGTATTGTCAGTTTCCATTTTACATATTATAACGGGTTTGCAAGGTTTGGTTTATGAAAAGAAAATCAAAAGAAATTATACTGGCCCCTCAGTTGTGAGAATCAAAGTCTGTAACATTTTATTTTACAATCACCAACTGCTGCAACTCTTGATCAAAAATTAATAATTCCAACTGAAAGAATTACTGAGCCTGCATGGTACTACACCAACGGCATTATAATAACAGCTGTAAACTGCTGGACTTTTAAAGCTTATCTGCCACAGTATGTAAACACAAATGTAGACTAGGTGTTTTACTCCTCCCCTTTTGTCTATATACTGGGTTTATTCTATTAGGACTATACCTCCTACCATGCATCATGATCGCTTGATACTACATGATACCACAGGAAATCTGAAAGCCATGGCTTACCCTGACAGATTGACTTTGTCTGGGAAACATGGACCACAGAAAATAACACATTCTTAGTGTATGAACCCCAGCATGCACTGTGTTATGGAAGCATTTACATTAGATAGCTTGGTTCTAAATTTGAAGATTTCTTAGTATTGGTACCTTGAAATTTTTCATGGAAAGCAGACACTTTTTGTACAAATACTATGGTTCATTAAAAAAAAAAAAAAGTCTAGAAAAAGGTATTTTCTTCCTGAGAGACAAACCAGAAACTACATGCTCAATCAAGAAAGCAGCCAATAGTTGTAACAGATATGAGGTCTTGAAAAATCAGAAATACTCAAACAAGATATATCCTGGAATGACCATTTACATTTAATCTCTGCCCTGCATACATCTGACTGGTTTTCTATAATGGTCCACTATCCTACCTATAAAGTCTTGCCCATCCTCAAGGGTGACAAAGAAACTTGTATATTGTTGGTTGGCGCAGCTGGAAAGTAGAAACCTGAGAGGTGGGACTGGCCTCCTCATCCTGCACAGGAGCTTGGCTATTGCTGGTGGGGCCCTGAAAGGTGCCAGCTGGATGGGGAGGTAAATTAATTGGAGCTTTGCAACACAGCAGAGGGAGACAAAAGTCAAATGCACAGTCAGAGAGGTCCAGAACTAGCTGAAAATTGTACATCAGGAAGCCGAAGCTGAAGATTTGGCTGAATCTGCCAAAAGATTTGTTCTTATACAGATTAAAAATAATGTGTTCCTTGAAAGAAATACTGTGTGCATGTATGCAATTTTATGGACTGCAACATGCATGTCAGACAAGATGGCCTCAGTGCCAATGCCAATGACTAGATGGAGCAATAAAATGTAACAGAAAGATGTACATGTACTGTGGCTGCCCAAAGTGCACGGGAATATGGTAAGAGAATAAATAAACACCTATGGAACACGCTCCTGGGCTTGTGGCTTGGTGGCTAAAAATTAGACTGTTGAGGCCAGTAACTGAGAGAGGCCATGTACAAATATTCATAGAATCATAGAATCATAGAGGTTGGAAGAGACCCTTGGGATCATCGAGTCCAACCATCTACCCTACTCTACAAAGTCCTCCCCTACACCATATCCCTCAGTACCGCATCTAAACGTCCCTTAAACA